GACTTCGTATATGATATATCATACTTCGTATATGATATATCATACTTTGTATATGAGATGTTTTACTTTGTATATCATATATTATACTTTGTTTATGATATATTTTACATTGTATATGATATATTAGACTTCGTATATGATATATCATACTTCGTATATGATATATCATACTTTGTATATGATATATTATACATGTACTTTGTATATGATCTATTATGCTTTGTATATGATACATTTTACTTTGTATATGATCTATTATGCTTTGTATATGATACATTTTACTTTGTATATCATATATTATACTTTGAATATGATATATTATACCTCGTATAAAATATATTATACTTCGAATATGATATATTATATACGAAGTATAAGATATCATATACAAAGAATAATATATCATATATGAAGTATAATATCTCATATACAAAGTAAAACATCTCATATACAAAGTATAATATATATCTTACAAAGTATAATATATCGTATACAAAGTATAATATATGATATACAAAGTAAAATATCTCATATACAAAGTAAAACATATCATATACAAAGTACATGTATAATATATCATATCCAAAGTAAAAAATATCATATTCAAAGTATAATATATGATATACAAAGTAAAATATCTCATATACAAAGTAAAATATATCATAAACAAAGTATAATATATATCTTACAAAGTATAATATATCGTATACAAAGTATAATATATATCTTACAAAGTATAATATATCAAGTCGTTACTACAGACGTGATAACATTGCTGTAACTACAGACGTGATGATAATGCTTTAGTTACAGGTGTGACTACACTACTGTAACTACAGACGTGATAACACTGTCGTAGCTACAGACGTGATAACACTGTCGTAGCTACAGACGTGATAACATTGCTGTAACTACAGACGTGATGATAATGCTTTAGTTACAGGTGTGACTACACTACTGTAACTACAGACGTGATAACACTGTCGTAGCTACAGACGTGATAACATTGTTGTAGCTACAGACGTGATAACATTGTTGTAGCTACAGACGTGATAACATTGCTGTAACTACAGACGTGATGATAATGCTTTAGTTACAGGTGTGACTACACTACTGTAACTACAGACGTGATGATAATGCTTTAGTTACAGGTGTGACTACACTACTGTAACTACAGACGTGATTACTCTGCTCTAACTACAGACGTGATAACATTGCTGTAACTACAGATGTGATGACATCTGTAGTTACAGCAATGTTATCACGTCTGTAGTAACGACTATGTAATCACGTCTGTAGTTAGAGCAGAGTAATCACGTCTGTAGTTACAGTAGTGTAGTCACACCTGTAACTAAAGCATTATCATCACGTCTGTAGTAACGACTTGATATATTATACTTATACTTTGTATATTATATATTATACTTTGTAAGATATATATTATACTTTGAATATGATATTTTTTACTTTGGATATGATATATTATACATGTACTTTGTATATGATATTTTATACTTCGTATAAGTTACATTCAAATAGATTCTATTTGAATATATACATTTAATTGCAGCAATTAAATGTACATGTTTATATTCAAATAGAATCTATTTGAATGTAACTTATACGAAGTATAAAATATCATATACAAAGTATGATATATCATATACAATGTAAAATATATCATATACCATATACGAAGTATAATATATCATATACAAAGTATAATATATCATATACAAAGTACATGTATAATATATCATACAAAGTATAATATATCATATACAAAGTATAATATATCATATACAAAGTATAATATATCTTATACGAAGTATATTATATCATATACAAAGTATAATATATTACATACAAAGTAAAATATACTATGTTCACAGTATGAGATACTATATTTACAGGATTATTTACCATGTATACATTATAATATACAATGTCCAGATTAAATATGTACACAGTATGAGATACTGTTTTTGTAGTATAGATTTCCATATAAACAGTATTATATATATACACTGTTCAGATTAAATGTGTACACATTTTGATATACCATACATATACAGTATACATGTAATTAAATATACCATATACAATGTAAACAGTATATTATACAATGTATGTGTTATACCTGTAATATACTATTATACAGTGTTATAGATACAATGTACATTGTCTAACTTAATATATTGCAGATAATACAAGAATGATTAAATAAGATATATAGTCAATTGAGTATAATTATAATCTACCAGCTTTAGTAAATAAACACCACGTGACGTCATGCCCAATGAATCGGGTTATTTTTCACACTGTGAAATTATCCAAAAAATAAACTTTGGGTCGGGAATGATTGTACCTGAAGCAGGTAGGGTAAACACGTGTACAATATATTATACAGATGTGTTAAGTATTTACATATATACAAAATATAATTTAATGAACATATGTACCAAGTATAATTTATACTCTGTAGTAAATACTGACCTTTAATGCGTCACACTTGTATGCGGTAGGGTAAACATATAGTACAATAGATGACGGAACGCACACTCCACAGAAACAGTCGGAACGCATGCGCACACTCCACAGAAACAGTATCAATGTCGTAAACAAACTATGTAATAATTGTGAAATTATCTTTTGATTCTTGATACGTAAAACTGTATATATTACATGTCCAGTCTCAAACAAACAAAAACATCCAATCAGTTTACTGTACAGTTGTATACTTGATATTCTTCCGTGTAAAGTACATAAATGTGCAGCAATTTTATCTCATAATGTACGTATGCATTAGCTAATACTATCAATATAAAATATGCATCGATATACAATACGCACGGAAACAATCGTGTACCGTTTTACAACGGAATGTTATCGATTAGTGAAACAATCCTGTACCGTTTTACAACGGTATGTTATCGATTAGTACAACCACATACCAGTAATAATAGTCACTGTTCGTTAAAGTGTAAATTTATGACATTGTATGAATAAGGCACAATATTTGGGATCTGTGGAGAGGTTTCATATCGTCAAACATCGCGCAGTAATATTAATTAAGTCATTTCCGTTTCCATGTTAAACATAATCCAAATTCACGTACAACCGGTTTACATGTATATGTTAAGGTCATATTGAAAAAATAAGTCAGCTTTAATGTTTAGAATGTATTTGAACTATTAAGATTCGTTTGTTTGTACAAATTTTGTATTCATACATTTTGCAATATTGTCCAACTATTGTTAAACATTTCAATAGTATGCTCTGAATATATTTTGCATTTCATTCAAATATATAACGATTTCATTTTTAAATATGAAGCCTCTCCATAATCGCCCACTGGAACATGATTTTACACTTACACATTGCTGTGTGGTACGGTAGTGAACAGGATTTTACACTTACACATAGCTGTGTGGTGTGTTAGTGAACATGATTTTACACTTACACATTGATGTGTGGTGTGGTAGTGAACAGGATTTTACTCTTACACATTACTGTGTGGTGCAGTAGTAAACATGATTTTACACTAACAAATTGCTGTGTGGTACGGTTATGAACAGGATTTTACACTTACACATTGCTGTGTGGTGCGGTAGTGAACATGATTTTACACTTACACATTGCTGTGTGGTACGGTAGTGAACAGGATTTTACACTTACACATTTGCTGTCTGGTGCGGTAGTGAACAGGATTTTACACTAACACATTGCTGTGTGGTGCGGTAGTGAACAAGATTTTACACTAACACATTGCTGTGTGGTGCATTAGTGAACAGGATTTTACACTTACACATTGCTGTGTGGTACGGTAGTGAGCAGGATTTTACACTTACACATTACTGTGTAGCACGGTATTGAACAGGATTTTACACTTACACATTGCTGTGTGGTGCAGTAGTAAACAGGATTTTACACTTACACATTGCTGTGTGGTGCGGTAGTGAACAGGATTTTACACTTACACATTGCTGTGTGGTGTGGTAGTGAACAGGATTTTACACTAACACATTGCTGTGTGGTGCGGTAGTGAACAGGATTTTACACTTACACATTGCTGTGTGGTACGGTAGTGAACAGGTTTTGGAACACATACATTGATGTAAAGGGGTATAAAGAACAGGATGTTGCAAGCATATGCTGGTGTGTACAGTAGAAATGAACAGATTTTAGCTCAAGGACATTGATGTGTGTAGCAGTAATGAATACTTTGTAGCACGACAAATATGATGTGTTGGGTTAAAATGAACACGTTGCGAAAACGTCAGCATATCTTACAATTATGAAGTTTGACTTCAAAGCTATTTTATCTCATTAAAACGCAGTACCGAATACATATATATAATTACAGAATTTCCAAATATGCCAGGAAAATGCGTTGAGTTTTACCTCATAATTATGACGGCTGTGATGAAATTTTGGGACGTGGGACCCTTACTTTTATAGTTGGGATCGGTTGCTGTAAATTAAGATCTGTAATTTTGTCTCTTTGTTTCAACAACTGTATAACTATGTCTGTATCGCTGTCAGACGTGTATACACGTTTCGTCTCCTATAGGAAACAAATACTACATTCCAATTCACGTTAATTCAGTTCTCCATATAGACAAACACAAGCTTTTATATCGGTACATAGTTTCATGCGAGGCAGGTTCTATTTGAATATATACATTTAATTGCAGCAATTAAATGTACATGTTTATATTCAAATAGAATCTATTTGAATGTAAATAATGCCTCGCATGAAACTATATTATGAAAACGACTGTAATATTTTGATATATATATCAACCTTATTTAAACTTTTAATCGTAACTGACAGTCCCTACGATATAATGATTGCATATCCTACTGTAATCCCATACTGTGAGACGCTCTATATAAACTGTACAACTCGGTATTATCATGAACAACACTGAACGCAAACCGTTACATACGACGACAGTTACCCCCACCCCTCCCCTACACACACACACACACTCCCATAACACACACACACACACACACACACACACACACACCAAAGTTTAATATGCATACCAACCGGTGACGTTCTGATCAAACAATGAATCGTAGTATTGACATGGATGCGAGTGTTACACGCTCAATAAGTGTTAATTCTTTGGTACAGCTTTGGACTACACGCTAAATATCGATATAAATTAATTGTATTTAACAACCCTTCTATTGTTCTTTTCCACGTTTTTATGTACAAAAATAACTATACATAATGCATTCCTTTATAAGATTAACCGTCTCGTCTGTGTATTGTACGTCATAATTTTAAAAACTTTTTTTCTTTACAAGTGTACAAAAAAAAAAGCATATGACCGTAAGTATAAATAACTAGATATCCACAAAAAGCACCGGTATTTTGATTTTGACCTCTTGTAAATTTGTCTTTTTCAATAAGAGTATTGGAAACAAGAAAAGCACTGACACTGACGTCTAAAGTCAACAGAGGACTACGATATTGCAACAGCATTTACGTATCACACGTTTATCTGTTCAGATGTGTAAATATAAGGATTAATGATGTGATGTAAAGAAATATTTAACTAATGATAGTCATCGTGAGACGTCAATGTAACGGCGTATCTGATTGGACTAGATATATCACATGTTCTCGCCAAGTAAACATGATTGAATTCATGGGAAAATAACAATGTTTCACATACTAGGGAAACACATGTATACTGTGTATCTGTGCCGGTATTATATGTAAGATTTATACACGTGCATTGTAATTGTATAATACTGCTTTGGGATGCTTTATTGGTTGTTATCATTTAAAAAAAAAGATCGCTTTCGCAATTTTTTAAATGATCAATAGGTCTTGACTGACTGTAATAAGATAACTTAGATATACTTGTTTCCCACACTGCACAGGTGTACTCCGATTCCCATGCTTGCCACGGGAAAGATGTACATGTCTTTATCTACCAAGGAGAGACACGCGTTATGATTCTAAAAGACACCGTCGCGTTATTTCTACATGTAGTTTAGTTTAGCCAGGGTAATTTCATCCATTTTGTCGCACATTTCATGCGCTCTTGATGATGGTGCTAAACATCGAGTCCACCGATACAACTTAATATAGCGGGAGTAATATAATCAATTACTCCCGTGCATTACAGACAAAGAAATCGCAACCCGAGGGATAGATTTGTTTAAAGTTCAGCAATCGGCAAAACATCTTGCTAACTTAAAACAAAATCTTACACTTAGGTTAAAGTTTCTCTGTGTGCATCACACAGGCGTGACCGATTATATTATTCTTCAAAGTAGGAATATCAACTATGTAACCTGGAAGATAGCAACATCTCAAACGACAGCTTGGTCATTGTACAAGTTCAGCACAATCATCATCATTACATAGACAATAAATTTCGATACAATGATTTGATTTCTAAATGAAAATATTACCGAGTGAAATTATATATTGAACAGTTACACTGCGCTTTAGTTCATTGGCTAGACTACATACCTTCGTACGCATGATAACCCTCTAGATTACCCTCACAAACTCATTACATACACAACCGACCTACACAAACAACCACGCTAATCTACTAACGGTTTATACAGAAAACGTTATAAAAATATCACTGTACACTAGAAATCGAGATGACTTTTTTTCAGCCTATTCTGATCTAATTATACAATCCTCTTACAAGTGCTGACATCATACCTCCTCGTTGTTTACACTGGAGTAGTATTTACCATCGCTCAGTTTTCTTTGCTTCAGACCTTGGTTTGCGTCTGAGGCCACACTTGATCCTTCAGTGGCTGTTGCCACGGCTTGATTGTAACTTGGAGACCGCCGCATGCTTCTATCATGTGACCTAATATTGTCATTTTCAACTTCCGGATCAGGTGAAACGTTGTTTTCCTGTCGGTCCACATTTGCATAAGGCACATCATCCGCTTCTTCGTCATCTGTGCGCGATGCATACAAGTCCTCCAGTGCTCGCTGCTTTTCTCGTATCGCATCTTCTTCAGCTTCCCGCTTTTTCTTTCCGATTGGATCACTACTGTCCTCATTCTTTGCATTTATAGGATCCTGATTTTCACCGGAAGCCGTAATTGCTAAAGGTGAAGATGTCTTTCCATTTCTACAAGTAAAGAAACCCATAAACAAATTTAATTTTACTTCTCCTATCCTCCATGAATCATATAGAATGGGAACGAGGTTGAAATGAGTAACAAATTTTGTTACGGAATTAAATGGAAAAATATTAGGAATACAATATTTTTGCATTTCATCAAATATAAGCGTTAAAATCACACAGTTTAGTCGCAAGGAGTTTATTACACATGATAAATATAAAAGAAAAATATAAGGAACGACGTTAAAGCACACAATGGAAGCCACATCATACAACTGAAGAAATTGGTATATATTTTCGTGTGCATATTTTGTCTCCGTATTTATGTTTATCTTTTCTTCGTCTTTCTGCTTACCGTGTTTTTATGCCCATGTACTTATCATATTTTCCTGCCTTGTTCTTACATTGTTTAAATGCTATTTACTTGCATTGTCTCGATGTCTTTGTTCTCATATTTTCTCCATATCTTTGTCCCCAACTTGTCTCCATATCTTTCTCCTCACTTTTGTCTCCATGTCTTCGTCCTTATCTTGTCTTCATGTCCTTGTGCTTACCTTGTCTTCATGTCCTTGTGCTTACCTTGTCGTTATATCATTGTGCTTGGTTGACTTCATGTCCTTGTGCTTGGTTGACTTCATGTCCTTGTGCTTACATTGTCTTCATGTCCTTGTGCTTACCTTGACTTCATGTCCTTGTGCTTACCTTGTCTGCATGTCCTTGTGCTTACCTTGTCGTTATATCCCTGTGCTTACATTGTCTTCATGTCCTTGTGCTTACCTTGACTTCATGTCCTTGTTTAGTTTGTCGATCTTCAAGAGAGCGATATCTAACTGATGCTTGACCTTCCAGATCTGGGTCTCACAGATTGGGTCTTTACATCTGTGCTTCTTCGTGTAATCTAAGGCCTCCATGACAGACTGCTCAAACGTTAACGATTTCCCCATACTCTATAACATAGATAATACGTCAACGCTTAAGACATCCTACTACTTATTTTAACATGGGTACACACTGTGTCGTTTAAAAGATTACAGAAAAGGAAGAAATATATATATTACACTGTAAATGTTTACTCTCTAGTATACATGCCCTAATTTTATCAAAGATATACATTCATAATGAATTATTGTAGTTTCTATAAGATCACACAAAATCTTATACTTACTAAGCTAACTAATGCACAACATCCACATTTGTCGTATTGTTTCAGACACTTCCTGCCAAATCGAAAGTAAAGGTGTTCCAATATAAGTAGAATACCCCCTAGGACGATTCCTGATGCCAGGAGGATAAAAGCACTGGTAAAATTAAGTATGCCTAGCTGGTGGCTGTTCTGCTTTCTCTTCTGTTTGGAGTGACACGCGCCTGCCAACCAGAACTTCCGTAGCCTATCCAGCTCTCCTGTAAAATACATAGTTCAAGTGTCCCGCTGGTGTCAACATAGCGTATTTACTTTGTCATAAATTGCCTAGGTTCGTTGTGCTGCATTGGATATATAATCATATTGGAACTACTGTCCCATTTAATACGGATTTTTAAACCAGTTTCAATGCATGATTCCAATTTTAATAAATTATTTTACAAGTATAAACAAAACTGAACTCCGTAATCAAACATACATAGTTACTTTACAACTCTTAGACATAAAATGCTATAAACGTATAATTTACTTACTACATAAAGCCCTCCACATACTCATACAGTGCCCCCTACAGCTGTTCATAATGATGAATTGTGCGCTACATCATATATATGGAGTGCTCTACATAATATAATAAGCGCTAAAGCGTTATGCATAAAAATGTAGAGCGCTTCGTGTACATTCGTTATATGTATTGTATTATGTACAGCGTTTTATATGATGTTAAGCAGTATACACACTATGTGGAGCAATCAACAAATAGAAACATACGCATTTTCAAAATCTTAATATAAAACATCCCCAGGAACAGCTAATGACAAACAACTGGTACACATACCGTATTCCTGTAGATCTAGCAGATAAGAGTTGACCTCCTCGACTAGGAAGCCCGACCCCCTAGGAAAGCCGACACCGTATCCCGTCATGGCGTACCATTTGCCCACGGATATGAGATGACAGTCAGCATCTATACCTATCTGGTACTCCAGAGGTGTGGCATCATAGATAAACGCCTGTATCTCTCTGTAACGTCAAAAACACATTATCAGTGAGGTGTTAGCGTTACTGCTTTACATTTACTTTTTCATACCAGAGGCATGTGATAAACGGGTGTCGGTAAACGCATGGGTCTCCATGCAACTTCCAACATTTATGATGTCAGCTAGGTACGAGACACAAAGCTTTGAATTTGTTGTTCCGAGATATCATTTTAACTCTTTAAAACTTTCTGTATGCATGATTTTTAGTTACTTTAAGGGATGATTAGTAGTGTGACGTCATCTGTTACATAAATATTGATTTTGCTATAACCCGTGACTATAAATGACTGTAAACTTTACCAAACATATCGATAAACTAGAATTAAGTCGCCGCGTTATGGATTTATATATCATTAAATCAAATGAAACCATCAAATACGACCTTGATTTTTGTAAAAGATCCCGATAATAATAAGAAACACATCGTTCTGTTGTGATGAATTTGTGTGTAATCCTTCATGTAGGCTTTCGGCAAAATGAGAGAGGAAATTGAGGCTAACACAAAACGGAATGCACCTTAATGACCTTTAAACTTTTAAATTGGCCTTGACCTTTAATGACCTAAAATAGACACCCCCTCTAGTGATAGAGTAAGGATACACAGAAGGGATACAAAAGTGTTGTATGAACGCCTAAGGTCATTGGTAGCTTTATATCACGCCATTTTACTCCACGTTCATGTGGGGTCATCAAAGTCATATCAACATTCGGCTAACTATCGCATTGCCAAGAAGTCTTCACGCTGTGAGACTACAGGAACAACAAGGTGTTTGCCTGTTCTACTTCGCCGCCGCAGCAGTGAATCCCTTCGTGGAGACACATGTAAGGTTTTGTTAGGCACATGTTATAAAACCTCCTCTACAACATGCATACTGTACATGCTGCATGTCTGGGACAGCCATTAACTAGCGTCACTGACCCTTTTTTCAAGGCTTTCACGGCTTCCCGAACTGACGGCTGGTTGTACTTTTTCATGTAGCTGAACATTTCTGGGTGATTCTGTCTCAGGTTTTCCTCTGTACTCCCATTAGGGACGGTGGCGAACTTGAAGGGCGGTTTGTGGCTGTGTGGATTCGTTAACTATGGAAAACAAGTATTTCTTTTAACATGTTTCATTTTTCACCAATAAAAAATAGACACAATCTCACATTTATAAATGATATACGTTGGCAAGAGATGATAGTGCAAAATATGAGTCTGCTAAAACCTTTTATATTTTCCCTAGCTATTTATTTTTTGATATTCGTTTTCAATCGGGTCCACGATTCACCTGCTATCATAGACAGACCCTGCTTAGCCTTATCTAGTATGTCAGTAGACTATGGACACGATGAAGTACACTATGGAGTATCGACAGAGCTCACCCTCCAGTCTTTGATGCCTGACAGGTCATAGTAGACTTCCTTGGTGATCATAAAAGCGGCCAAGTTAGCTGTGTAACTTGCCAGGAAAACCAGGGCGAACAGTGCCCACACGTTGGCCAGGAAACGGCTAGCGCACCCTCGTGGATTGTCAGCCGAGACGGACGCTCCAAACAGCATGGCCCATATCAACCAGAAGGAACGGAACAGGGAGAACGCATGCTCTGTAGTGTAAAGTAAAGGGTATAATTTCCAATTCCATCACATACATATTGACATGTTTATTGGTCTACCCAATGCTTACGTGCTAAGTATCAGTCAGAATGACGAAAGAATATAAAGAACTTGATGGATCCCTTACTTCATCATATCTACTAATCGACGATACTTGTTTTTCTAAATGGATCACAACCAAGGCTAGCATTGGCGCTGGGTTAATTAGATGCTGACATGTGCTATTAGACGCTAGACTATGCCAGGACCTTGGGGACAGCCACACCGAGCCGACCTCATACAGTGGTGATTATTTAATAGCCTGTATATAGACTATTTAAGCAGTTTGGCATCTTTGGGACCATGAACTAGGCCGAAATTACTTAGAACATATTACCGTCCTATATATCAATCTGAGACTGTTTTCTTCATAACGTTTGTCATCTTTTCAGAATTATCGTTTGCGTGTGTGTTCAGAACCATGATAGCTAAAATTAATAGTAATAGCGTAGTTATTAGAAGGAGCTTTAATCATGAGAAGGCGCGTGTTTCTGCCACATAGTGACGTATTGTGGACTGCTGGATATTACACGTTGAATGAGGTCATCAATGGCTA